ATATATATATATATATATCTCCAGTAATTTTCATAATAGTGCTTCATTTTTTTGTTTTGTTTATTTTCTATATTACCATCAAATGTGAGCTTATTTAAAATGAATATCTTAATGGGCCTATTGTAATTTTCTTGTAGTACTCTAGTCTGATTAGATAGATGTAATAATGTGAACTGAACTTAATTGTAGTTTCAGTTATTGAGTTGTAATTATTTACCTATAATTTTTTGTAATAATTTGGAACAATTATCCGTTACATTTCCAATATAATAAAAGAAAATTTGTGTACTTTTTGAAAAAACAAATGAATGTAACAAAATGGATTTATATCATGTTAGAGTGCAATTAGCATTTTCGGTACGAAAAGTTTAAAGAAAAAATTTGGATCAGTTTTTGTGAAAATAGCATTTGAGCATTTGTGAAAATGCGGAATTTTCAGCTAATTTTTATAAAAAGCTTTTGAGTTGTCGAGAATTTCTTTAAGACAACATTTAGATCACATGTACTCATAAATGCAAATATGTGAACAAATAGCTGCTAATGTAGATATTAACGATGTGAAGGACAAGTCAAAAACATTACATAGAGTAGCATTATCCCTACCAGCAGTTTAAAGAAAAAATTTGGAGCAGTTTTTGAGAAAATCTATTTTCCTATGTTTTAATATTGCACGCACAATTTCACATAAACTTTTTTTTTTATGTACATGATCTTAATGACAGAACTAATTATGGCAAAAAAATGTTATTTGAAGGGAGTATCTTGATCTTCAATTTTGTAGTTGTAGGAATATGCAGAAAAAAAATTTGAATTTTTGCAATTTTCAAAAATTCAGTTATCAATGAAAATCAGACCTGTGCCAGCCACTTTTATAAATGCATTTCATACTATTCTTATGAGACATAAAAAAAAAAAAAAAAATAGATCCATTGTTCAGAAACTTGTGTATCAGAAACTTGTTATGTAGCTTGGTTTTCAAGTAAAGTGCCCTCAAAAATTAATGAATGTTTTTCAAAACAGCAGAGCTTTGAGTAAGGCCAATTCGATAATTTCTGAAATCTGAATACAGAAAGAGTAATTTTCAATATTTAGTACAGGATTTACACGCTTTTCCTGTACCTGTTCCCCACAATACAGAATTTTTCTGTCAGGAAATCACCAATTTTTTTGCTGTAGCATTATATTACTTTCTCTATACTATCTTTCTCCCTATATATGTATGTATACGAGAAAGTAAAAGTCTCATACATTGTATATAAATTCCATTATGTTTGGGAGTTGGAAACAGTTTTAAAAAACATGTTTATTGTATGTGGTTCATAAATGGCGGCAATTTCTACACACCATTTTTGTAGAAGTCTGTGTTGTTTTTAGTTACTCCAAACTAGGTTGAAGCTTTTTAAGCTAAAATGCATTGCATTTAGTAATCTCAGGTTTAGAAATCAGTGTCATTTATCTACCCCTTTTTACTATTGACCACAAATAAACAAATTTCGACTTTCAGAGAGTAATTTTTCAAAGGAGGAATACAGTTAAGCCTTTAAATTGATTTTTTTCTTTTGCTTCATCCAAATTTTTAAGTGTAAGATCTTTGTTGAGGGACTAGATAAAATTCTAAAATTTGCTCTCATAAAAGATTGCAAAGATACCAAAATGTAGTATAAATTTCAGCATTGAGATTTAACTCAGCATGTTTTAAAAAAATTGTAAATTTATGCAAAAAATACTTCACTTCTTCATTGGGGAGAAGTGATGACAGAGTAAGCATATTATTTTCCAGCATATTTAAACTCAAATCCACCTTACTTTGCATCAGATCTTCACTAATGTAGTTGTGGAGGTGGTCAATAAATTTTGGCTCTAAATTTTAAATATTATTGCAAAACATAGCAATATTTATCTTCAATTACTACTTTAGATTTGAGAAAATTGTTTTAATTGAATTTGTAATGCAATTGAATATTCAAAGTTATTGCAGACCGTCGATGACTTCTTTTCGTGTCCCCACTTCATTATTTCACGAGACTTACTCTTGATATTATCTGATCCCGGTATGGAATCCTTGTTTCTAGTGTCTGATTCATATAGCTATTAACTTCATTCCTTCCATACAAATACAGATATGTTTCTCTTAGTTTGTAATGTTGTAATGAATCTTAACATAGTAATTGAGTAACCTGTGCCCATCCATCATTCAAGGTTTGAGCCCTACTTGTTCACCATTTGAGGCAAGTGAAGTCATTCAATGCATCTCAATCTCCTGGTGAGAAAGTGAAAATTGTTTTGCAGATTCTTCGAAAACATTCTTAGAGAATTAAAAAAACATGTTGGGAGAGTACTTAAAAAGCATTTTGAGGAAGGTTTAACACTCCTCCAGAGGTGGTAAATAGCTCTTCTCTTGTCAAGATGCAGAGATTTCCTCAATTCTTAACTGGTTCCCTCTGGGATATTCTGGGAGAATTCTAGAAAAAATATAGGGGGAAGAATGTGAAAGTCACCTACATTTGTGAAAATGGAAAATAGTGTACTGTCTTTCCACCATAATGTGAATCTTTGGGACATGATTTATATTGACAATAGTTAAACCTAAGCTTTTATTCTGAAAATAGTTCTTCTATTGATTGTGTTTATGAAACTGTTTAAATATTTCATAAAACAGGCAGCTATGTTATATATGTGAATTTTCTTATGAACATGCATAGCACAAATACAAAATTTCACCATTAATGTACCCATTGAAAGTGCAAAGTTAGGATACAATAATGTGGTAGTGATTTTTTTTGTGTATTTATGTCAAGCCAATTCTGTTACTGCATGATTTATTTGTTGTGGTAGAATTTCAAATGAATATAAGATTCCTTTCCGTGGTTTTACTTTACTCTTACTCGTATCTTTGTATCTTCAGATTACTGCAATGCAATGGGTGAAAAAGAATGGAAAATTTGACAAAGCTGATCCCAATGAAGTTCGGAAAAAGGAAAGCTCAAAAAGACCCCATAATGAAAACTATCCTCAAGGTAAGATTGATTGAGAGAAGGCATTACTAAAGATTCCATAGCACTGGAATTGTGGGCTGCTGACATTTTTTGGCTGATTATGATTAATATGGACAGGACACTTTACAATCATGACTTTTGATAATTTATTATTGTAATTGCAGAAAGTTTTAAAATTTACTTATTCGGCACATGTAACTCAAAAATTCTATGTAACAAAATCAAATGATTTAACTGAATAGCGTAACATAATGTCTTGAATATCGTATCACAAGATCTCCCCCAAAAATAATAACAAAATAATAATGCATATCACAAATAACAATTGTAAATGAAAATCACTGAAACTAATTAAATAACCCCCAATATTTGTTTGGATCAAATGAAAATGTATTTTTTCGTTTGTATTGCAAATTTTGTTTGAGAAGTCGTTAATTGAAGGTATATTTCCAGCTAAATAGAATTCGCTTATATCACTCAGGTTCATTAATCTGGGACCAAAAACAATGTGTCTAACTATAGTTCAATCTTCTCAATCAATCATTAGTGTTATACCCATTTTTGAATCACTAATGTCTGATAAGTTAAAATGTGCAATTGGTTGTTATGGTGTGTTTTTTTATCTATCAATCAACATGGGTTTATGCCAGGATGAAAGATTGAAAGTAACTTCATTTTGTATTTTATGGATTCCCTAGAAAAGAAAACTCAGATTGACACACTAATTTTAACAAGGCATTTACTCTTGTTAATCACAATTTACTTATTTTAAAACTTATTATTTTGGATTTTCTTTAATAGGGTCTATTGAAAATAGTTTACTGATTACTAATGAAACAGATATCAGTTTGTTAAATATAGGAATTTCATCTCTCGAGAGATCATTGGGTCGTCAGGAGTGACCCAAGGTGCACATTTGGACCTACTTTTTCTAGTGTTTATTGGTATTTCCCTTAGTTTCGAGAAAGTTGAATTTTTGTTTTTTGCCGATCTAAAACAGTTTAACGTATTAGATCCACAGAGGACATAAAAGATCTGCAAGACAGTCTCCACTTCATATCTAGTACTTATAAAAGGATTTCCATTTGCACCCTAGAAAATATAAATTTATCACTTTCTCAAGTGGTAGAAATACCTCTGATGCCACTTATTTGATCAATGGTGTCTGATCAATTTGGATCAGGTATTTTCAATAAGAGATGTGCTGTAATCTTTGATGTGAAAATGACTTTAAGTGAGCATATTGATTATCAATAAATCTCTCCATGCTCCACAACTTGGATTGATTAGAATATTTATTGAGATCAGAAATGCTGCAGAAAGTCAACGTCAAGATTTTAAGGGAAATACACGTTTAGGGGCCCCCTGGTACCGAGAAAGTTGTATTTTCTCCATCCAAAAACATCTGCCCATCTGTTGGCTGTGAAGAAAACTAGCGCTTACACTGTTCATAGGATTTTTCCAAACTAAGTCGATGACTGCTACTTCACCTTCTGGTTGCGATCAGGTTTTTGTCCAGTTTCAATGATCCACTGAGCAAATTTTGAGATGACCCCTTCTGTTGCTTCTGGACAAAATTCCTTTTGCTAGTAGGAGTAGAACTATTTTGTTATTATTACAGAAATAAAATGAAATCTGCATTCATTTACTGATGCAAGTAGTTTTCTATAAATTGGGAACAATAATGAATAGTTATCTCAAAATAGTTATATCAAAAGTTACTACTTTTGCTTCTTTTGAAAATTTTATTCATCATTTAACTATTTATTGTTAAAATTTTGAGTAGAGGTTCTGGAACTGCAGAAAACATTTTCATATGTTACTTCTCCCCCAATATGTCACATGTACAGTCTTTACTGCTCTTCGACTAAATAAATCAAAACTAATGTTGGTTCAAGAGTAGAGGGCACCAACACAGTTTTGTTTTACTCATGATATTCAAATTCAGTTGCATGTTTCCATGTATATATTCGGAGTAATATATGTAGTATAGGGAAAGTTATGTAATGCTGCGGAAAATTGATTTCGTGATTTCAACGGAAATACACGTGTTGGGGTCCCCTGATACTGAGAAAGTGTTTTTTCAAAACGTCTGTCTGTCAGTCCACTAAACCATGTGTAGGATTTATTGAATATTTACTGAATATTTCCTGGTCAATTTGGGTCCACTCAAGGCACTGCGATTTTGAAAAATGTCCTTCAAATTTCGGGGGTACTTTACTCAAAACTCCTCACACGTTTTCAAAATTTTGTCAAAAATGGCTCCAGATTTTTTCTGTAAATTTCTTGTTAGAATAGAGTAAAATTCACTTATAAAGGTGGCAGAGATCACATTTTCACAGTACTCTGAATTTTCAAAAATTGCGAAAGTTAGAATTTTTTTCTGCATCTTCCTAGAACTACAAAATTGAAGATAGAGGGTTTCCTTCAAATATCTTTCTTGTCGATATTTACATTACCAGCAATTTGTGTATATTATTGTCTTTGTGAGCCCTGAGGTTTCGGGGCCCCAACCCATTTCTTTACTGCCTCCGCCTATGGACTATCGGCAGTACCTCCAGAACATAGGCAACCTGACGGGGAGGTTCATGTTCCCCGCCTGGACTTTTATGTGTGGGTTTGAGATCTGCCGCCATGCTGCACAGAGGTTGCTGGGTAACAAACCCCAAGTGCAATCCCGTCCAAAGATTGGTGGCAAGCCACCTCCTAACTGCTTCAATCATGAAGCGAACAACATGAGTAGCTTCAAGAGACTTGGGCACTGGGTGAGCATCTCCGTCTCCACCTAGAGGCTCAGGACTAGCGACTGTCTGTCACTTTGCGGGGGCAATTGTCTGGATATGGACCGTGCGCGGGCTTCCGCCCAACACAATTCCCTTGTTCTACCTGGGGTGGCCTCAGGCATTCCTGACTTACTTATATCTTTTGATCCTATGATGGTGTTTGGCTTTTCACTGTCATCCACACAAGTTCAGCAATGAGCTGGTATTTAGATCACGATGAAATGAAGTTTGCCCTCATGGCAACCTTCCACACAGCACTGAGGTTGGTACTGACCTGCCAGCTCAGAGCTTCTATCTATCCAGAGTAGTTTCAGAGTTCAAACAATGTGTTACTCACTGCGCTGGGAAGTCCTTCCGCTTTGTCCAGTTTCAGGCCACTGCTACAACAAAGCCTAGAGCCCTCGGGGCCACCCAAACTAAGGTCCAGGTGGCTCAGGGCTGCCTTCCCATCTCTTCACTACCTCCGCCTTGAGGCTATTGACGTGAATGCCGCCAGAACCTGGGCAACCTGTCAGGGGGTATCTGGTCCCAGTTAGTTTCTATGGAGCATTCTGAGAAACATCCTTCACCCAATCATGCTAAAAGGTCGACGAATCATAAATACTGTCGCTAAATTTAGAGAAAAATCCTACAAGACACAGTGTTCTGAATCCGTGTCCTGTGGGTCTTTGATACCAAAAAATCGATTGATGGCACAACATCTGTCCTTGTCTGTGAACAATGCTCCAATATAACTGGCTGATGTTGTGGATCCTTGAATTTGAAATTGATATTTTAATTGGGGGGGGGGGGGTACTTTACTAGGCACTAAAACATTTTCAAAATTATTAGCTCCCAATTTTTGGGATAAATTTTGTTTGTAGGAAAGTGTCATGGAGGCGTAACAGAAATGTGCGGATATCATGTTCGTGGAAAACCCTGATTTTCAAAAAGTGCAAAAGCTCAAAATTTTTTCAGTCTTCCCACAACTAAAAGATAGGGGTTTTTTAGGGAACACCAGCATTATAAACAAACTTTTGTTGCAAGAAATTGGTCATAATTGGTCATAATTGGTCATTTTAGGGCACAAGTGATGACGTATTCAAAAATTGAAGAAAAAAAATATTATTTAAATGTAATAAGATTCAAAAATGCTAGCCTTCAGGAAATATCAGATTGGAATGAAAAATCAGCATTCCACCCCAAGGAATGGAAGCTGTAGTTGGCTGTTCACTTATGCAGCCCTGTTCAAAAGCCTTTGTAACAATCTTCTTCTCTGGAATTTTTGGAGTTTCTGTAGAATCTCATTTCTTCTTATCTCTAGTACTAATTTCCATCGCACCGAAATATTGAAAGAAAACTATGCAGCACTCAGGGGTGTCTTTTGTCAGACAACCAGAAACTCTGGGAAAATCTAAAAGCAATTAAAGAGTAATTTTAACACAAAAATGCAAATATCTGATTGTGTTATTCTGTTTATTCTCATAATGCGCATACTAACTGAATTCTCATACTCGGTGCTTTACTGTTTACAATAAAGCTGATGTAATGTGTCAGCGTGGCTTCCAGGAAGAGTCTCCCCACTATTAAATAGTTTTTCCTATTCAATGTTGCAATGCAAAAAAATTTCAGTATAGAACAGCAACTTTTTTCATTTTCTTGTTTGCACTGGCATCTGTATACTATACTATGTTATTGCAGAATCTGGTAGGGCCTCTTTGAAAAATCATTTTATGTGCTTTCATTCAGCATCATTTTTGCTGTGGCAGGCCACTAGGTTTTACTTCATTAGTTTCTTATTTTTATGAAATTAATTTTTCTTCTTCTTTTCTTTTCTTTTTTAGATAGAGCTGCAAAAATTCTAAAATTAAACAATCAGGCTCAAGACAAGGAGAAAGATGTGCAGAGTACAAAGCCTGCCTTTTCTTCCAAGTTCATGGAGTTGCTTGCTGTGAAGTCCAAGCACACAAATCTTGTGGATGGCCAGGATGCTAGTGCTCAAGAGGAATATTTCAATTTGTTGGAGAAGAAAGAAAAAATGGAAGAGAAAATGTTAACAACATACAAAGTACCATGTAAAGCAGTTAGATGTTTAAAAGTAAGTCTATTTCTGGTAAAACTTTCGAGTTCAGAAATGAAATTCTAAATTTGTATATGAAATTCTAAATTTCATGCCTTTTCAAGTACATTGTTCACGTAAAAAACAATTTCAAATCATATTCGTAGTTGAAATTTTGGACAGATAAGGACCCTTTTAGAGCAGTGGTATGTTTTAGCTTGGTTTTAGCTTCAAAATTTTCCCATAATATAAAGAGTTACATCTCTGAATTGAATAAAAATTTACAAATGGGGTATTTTTTTCAGCAATTGTATGCTTTTTATTAGGACAATGTTTAATGACCAAAGTTGCATTTATGATCGGTTTTTCATAGATAATTATTTTATTTATACATGTGGAGAAAGACAAAGCATAGTACTTCACTAGAGTATTTTCCTGAGAAACAAATGTTTCAATGTTAATGTTTTATAATTTAATAGTTTTATATTTAAATATAACTTTTGTGATACACTGAACTATTTTTCTTCTCTCAGTGAAGAACACTTAATGAAAACTACTACCACCACCGCCACCATTATTGCCGCCACCACCACTACCACAACTGCAACCACTGACACTGCTATCATAGTCATTAGTTCCTCCTCTACGAATACTTCCAGTACTATTGTCACTGCTACTACCCTTCTACCATTGTCACTACCTGACCAGTACTTATCCCGTACCATCACTTATTACTATTACTACCTTCATCACCGCCAGTAGGCTCTCCAGGTAATGGATCCATCACTTCCTCATTTGTGATCGCTGCTTCTTCAGCTGCATCTACACCACTACTTACACATTATCATACTTTTGCAAGAGTATTACTACAGCAAGAAGGGCACTTGTGCTGTTGCTTCTACCATCTGTACTGCCAGCATCTGCACCACTAGTACCTCTGTTAATTCTAGGCTGATGACTACCTCTAACCCATTTTCATTAAAATTGTGCCCATGTATTGTACTTGTGTGCTTGAGTGTTGAGCCTTGGTAGATGCAGCTTTGCCGTGTTCATAATAGATTTTCTGCAGACAATATAAAGCCTAGTTCCAGATTAGTCATATTTTTCAGTCCAATATCCATACTATGTGAATACATTTAATGAGATTGTTTTGATGTTGGGCATCAAAAATGTCCTTGGAAAGCTGCTGCTATTGCACGTTACTAGGAAACCATGGTTTGCACATACCTCTCAAATGTGAAACACAAAGAAAGTTGGTAAAACCTGTAAACTTCTGACTTTTCGTGTTTTGAATCTACCACCACTTGTTTCCACCATTCACACTGCTACTACACCTACACCCTCATCTGCTTTAATTGTCAAAAGTAAGAAATCTTTTTGTTCTAGTGCAAGTATACTGCATTTTCGGCTTCTGATCTGTGCAAAAATGAAAGACATCCTTTGAAGGTTATGGATTCATTTAAACGATTTTTTCGTTGCAAGTCTTGTAATAATCGCACTGTTACTTTGGAACTTATACCGCTGTTGACATGTAAACAGTGTGGAGGATCTCAGTGGGAACGAGCTCCTATGATGAAGGTGAGATTGAAAATGACGTAATTTTTTAATTGTAATTATTTGGTTAATGAATGTATGTACTCATAGACTGACAGTTTTCTGGTGATATTTTGTAAATGCATTGTTTTTTGAATGCACATGTTCACTCTTTTCAGGAAAGAAAAGTAAATAATTTGCATATTCAACCCTTGTCTATTCGGGGTGGTGAAGAAAAATTCATTGGTTCTCTGCAATCTGAGGGAAATTTGAATCTTCTTGTACCTGAGTGAAGAAGACTGAAACAAAATGTAATAATGCATAATGTATTAAAAAAGACATTTGAATCAAGGAAAGCTTCTAATTGGAATGATGGAGAGCAAGAATTACAAAGGGGTTTAAATTCAAGATATAAAACAAAGGTTTCGTGTATTTGTGTTTTTTATCCAGTGAGAAGAATGTGTGAATTTCTCTCCAGACTTTGTGAGACTGTCAAAAACATTTCTCCAATATGCCAAATAATTTTAACTGAATTTTAATCATAAGATCAAAGTTGTTTTTTATAAATTGTACATTTATTGCATCATACTTTATACAATAAAGAAGTTTATGTGTTCCTATCTTAATACTATATGTCATTTTGACAGATACTGTTTTTAACCCCCACAGCAGGGATTGTAAATTCTAATCACCAACCCAAACTTTTTCTTTTTCATTTGTTGATAATTTAGCAGTATACATTGTTAGCATTGTATACATAGCAGTATTACATTGGATACATAGCAGCATTGTTTCTTTTGATCAGTATATTTTTGTGACACAGTGTTTTGATGATGATTATAATTACTAGAGTTCAGTTTTAGAGCTCCATTGTCTGAAAGAATGCATCATGAGAAAATAATTAACTATGAATCTGGACAGGTAATCAATTTAATCAAGTAGGTGAAAGTAATTTTTATTGCACTTCTGTTGTTTTTATTATTACTGAAAATGCATTTAATTTGTTTTTAAAACATCTCTGGATTTAGATCGTATAAACATGAAGTCAGGAGAAAAATAGGTTGCGAAAACAGAATGTTGCATATAATGTGAATGAAAGGATACCCGTGAGATGTTGAAGTGTAATATCTTTTAACTTTCCCTGTAAACAATATTCAACTTGCATAAGTCGTAAGTGTGAAAGTGATGATATAGGGTGATCTGGGCTGTCCGGGTGACGGCGCGTCGAAGGCTGAGTTGCCGACGTTTCGACCATCCTGTCGTGGTCTTCCTCAGGGCTGGTAACTGCCCTATGGGAATTTCTGTCACCACTGTTCGACGAATTCTGCATGAAGACCTTCAATTTCATCCCTACAAACTGGCTGTTGTGCAAGAATTAACTGAACGCGATTTTGTTGCCCGTCAAAATGCATGTGAAATGCTGATTGACAACCTGCCTGAAGACGCGGTCGTTTTTTTGTTACGAGGCTCACTTCCACATTTCCGGCTGCGTCAACAAGCAAAACATGCGTTATTGGTGTGTTGTAAATCCGCGTGAGCTTCACCAGAAGCCACTCAATTGTGAGCGAGTTACTGTCTGGTGTGCGATGTCGGTAATGAGAATAATTGGTCCTTATGTTTTTGAAGAAAACGAACGCGCAGTTACCGTGAATGGAGCTCGTTACAGGAACATGATCGAGGAATTTTTTCTTCAAAGACTCGAAGAAATGAACGTTAGGAACGTGTGGTTTCAGCAAGATGGAGCCACAGCACACACAGCACGAGACACAATGAATTTGTTGCGACATTTCCCCGACCTCCTCATCTCTCTCAGAGGCGATCTCCAATGGCCGGCACGCTCTTCAGATTTGACTCCATGCGATTTCTTTTTATGGGGTTATTTGAAATCCCTGGTTTATGTCGATCGACCACGGACCATAGCACACCTCAAGAACAACATTCGCGACGCCATTGCCAACATACCGATTGATATGCTGCAAAGAGTGGATACGAATTTCAAAAATCGACTTCATCAGTGTATGCGCAATGGAGGTCGCCATTTATCCGATGTCATTTTCAAGACTGCATGAAAAAAAAATTGGGATATTGTATTCTCAAATAAAAAAAAATTAAAACAATAACTGAAGTACTTTTGTTTTTATTGACCTTTCAAATAAGTAAGTTTCTCTGGCGCATCCTGTAGAATAAAAAACAGAATGGCGTGGGCTGGCTCAAGTGAGAAGTTTCAGTGCCGTCCTTACGCATCACACATGTTCATTTCATTTATTTCTAGGTTCTTATGTATAAAATACTTTCCTGCACTCATTTTTTTTTCAAATACATCAACTCATTACATTAAACTATTTATAAAGTCATTACTTAAGGGACTTTTTATATTCATTTTCCATTTATCTGCATCGTCTCATTCTTTATCTTGAAATATTTTTAATATTTCTTCATTCCATATATGTTTTGGTCTACCTCGCTTTCTTCTACCAACTGAACATAAAGGAAAGATTTACATATCTTCTTATTATTTGGAAACTACTCAAAAACTATTTTAGGTACCCTATTATCTTTCATTCTTTTAACGTGGCCATACCAGGTTAATTGTTTGTCATTAATAAATTCTAAATTGATAATCTCTTTACTCTCTTTCGCATTTTGCCCTTGATTGTTATTCGAGCAACTCATAAAAAATTAATTTCCGTTGCTAGTAATTTATTTTTAAAATTAGGTTTATTTCCATGTTCCTGATCCATACGTCACTACACTTTGTACTATTATTTATACATTAAAATGCTATTTTCATATGCTATAATTCACAAAATTCCATTTAACATAGAAGGAATTATTCTACCTTTATTAATTGTGTGTCTAATATTTTTTCCGAGTGTCGCTTGTTACGAGCGGCGATCACGCTCGCAACCCATTCGCAGCTTTGCAGAGGGAAATTGTGAAGTTTTTGTTCTAGTCGGCAAGGCGAGCTGGCAGGCAACTGGTTCTGCGCAGGGCCTTGTTTAAGAAGGGTCGCTCTCGATGGCGGAACTTGCCCAGCACCTGCCGTCGCCATGGAAACAATTCCCCTCTTCATGTCCCTCTCCGCGTAAAATTTCCTAGAAATGCCTCCACCAACAGACAGCCTTGTTCTTCACGTCAGACTTCACTGCGCATTCTAATGGCGGACTGGGAACTATTCAACATAACTGAAAACAAGTCTGATGAGCCCTCTAAATACACCATTACTCTATGCTTCCATGTGCAGCTGCACTTCCTAGCGAATCTCCTAAATTTCACGTTACCTGCATCCTGCCTGTGCGTGGTGCATAAAGTGGAAAGGTCGTGAGACGTGGATGGGACCATCCCTGCTTCAGGCTACTCTGACCCTGAATGAACGACGGGACCTGGGAGTTTCATCCTCAGGCATGAAAGGGCGTGAGGCAGAGCGACAGAAGGGAGAGCCTACTGTCCTCTCACAGGTCAGTGATCTACGCAGCTGACACCGCCCTTCGAACGAAGTGCCCGGTCGATCCCGGGAACGGCTTTCTGGAACCCACGGATTCCGTTCGACATTTAGAAAGTGTCAAATTAAAGAGAAACGAATAACACATTTTGTTCATTTAAAATTCAATACCAGTAAAGAAATCATTATAAAAAAGGAAAGAGTCGGATTTAGAGGGTAAAGAGGGTCGATCAAAAATTAATTTTCTCTGGAAATATATATTGGAAGAAACTAAAATTGGCACACAATATTAATACCTAGTTATTCTACTTGCTCTATTTATTCATCCACATAATTTAAATCGAATCGCATAGCCTTGCGCCAGCGCGAAACAAGGGTGAGCCTGCCTTGCCGGTACCAAGTCTTTTCCTGGCGATGTAGCACTTCGCGGATCCCACTGCCGTCATCTTCAAATTTTCTTCCATTAATAACGTTTTTCAGTGGCCCAAAGAGATGGAAATAGGAAGGGACTAAATCCGGACTGTATGACGGATGGGGAAGCACCGTCCAAACCATTTTTGTCAGAGCTCTTGTTGCGAAACGGGTGTAGGCGTGCGTTTTCGTGCACAATTCTTCAGGGATGATCTCATGGGAAATACTTTTTAATATATTCAGTGTTCATTTAAGACTTTGAATTTATAGTACTGCCTTTGAGCATAACATCAAAATGAATGACACCATTAATGTCCCAAAAGTCAGTGACCAGCGCGTTAGGACTCGTCGCTGTGGCGGCATGCCCCGAGCGCGGCAAAACATGAAGATTGCATTCTTCCATTTCCGAAGGTCTAACTCGTTTACCCAAAGGCCAAAGCCATTCACTGCACACAAGCATTTGTGAACGGTTTCATCCTCAGCAACGAGGAACGCAAATCATAGCACGGTTTGTACCGTACGTCTACAGCCGCCATTTCCAGTTCGCTAAGGGACCATCTGTGGCAGAGACTTGAAACTTCATACACTACGGCTGGAAATGCGAAACTTTGAAGGGTCAACGATTACAACTGTCTACTATTATTATTGGATGCAGGAAAAATGTGGGACATTACTTTCTGATCGACCCTCGTAGTTTACAAGAAATCTGTGTTATGATTTAAGAGTTTGCGTGAATGCGAAATTTAAAACAAATTCCATAAACTTTGTGCTAGCTATTTGGCAGCATTTTCCTATTCATTCGTGCATTAGTCATTTAAGAAAATAAATAGTGCATTCGAACATTCAGAGCTGCCCCGATCTAGCGAAAACCCAGTCTCAAGCCGTGGTGAAAAAAAACGGGTGTCATTAAAATTAGACCATTATCTGAACCACCACGCCAGGTTTACGTCCTGGCGCCCACATCTAAAAACTGTTCGTATTCATTCGCCTCTGACGCTCCACACATATTGTGCCCACAAGGGGGATAGAGGTAAGATGGCGGTACATCACAATACACAAAATTCACTCAACTGTTAGGTCTCGTACACAATTTTAAACAACCAATTTTGACATTATAAGGCAAGAGTCACATTCATTTACTCACATATTTTTAAAATATGTTACTTTCTTTTATTTATATTACATTTATATTTTCATATTTACACATTTATACAAATCAAGTAGTTTAAAACAAGATAAGCACACGTGTTGCGAGGTACGCTATTACATCAAAATTCCGTTCTTCCTCACTTGACACGTTTCTTATCACTCTCGTTTGATGTAACACAGATCACATAAGGTAAATATACACTTATTCGACATCTTTTCAAGATTTTCTACTGTACATTTAAGGCATTCACTTAAATTTCACGGGAATACTTTATTTCACGTTTTTAAAGTCTGAGCAAGAACTGTATAGAGGACTTTCAGTGAATCAGAGACTACCTACTCAAATGGAAATATTTACATCGACTTCATTCTCTCATTGAATAAGAAAGAGCTTCTTGATGCAGGTCATGATTTATCATTTCTTATTCATGAAAGAGAGTAATGTTCATTCTGGTCAACTGAGGCTTGCTCTTGACGCAAATATTTGAGGACAGACTTACGTAAGCACTATATGCGTAGGAATGGTAGCACACACAGGCAATGAAATATGTTAACGTGTTTGTTAACTTTCTATGTCCAAATAGTGTCTTCGGTTGGAGTAAGATGAGTGACCTTGGCGACGAGCAGGTACCTGAGGGTGGGCGTGAGCGTGGGCGCGGGGGTGTAGGCGGGCGGAGGGGAAGGGGGGACGTGGAGTTCGGCGCCCAAGCGGCGGGCGACGCCCTTGCACTCTTCTATGGCCTCTGCGCCTGCGCAAACACAACACCATCTTCATTCCACAACACATTTCATCAAGCGATCAATTAGAGGTACGTGTTTAAAATTCATGGCAAATAAAACTTTGAAACTACAGAACTAGAAGAGAAATATTCACATGGGAATTTAATGACTTGTACACCATTATTTTAAACAATCCTTTTTCATTGTCCGAAAAACTTTCTTCATGCTAAATATACTATTGAAACACAATTTATAAATGAAAGCGTACGCTTCCTCTGACGGAGTCAATATATAGGCTTTCCGGGAAACGCCCAATCCTATAGGCACAGAAGCTAACGTTTCGGCCGTCATATACTGCAGCTTTCCTCAGGGCAAAATAGGAGATAAGAGTTCGTGCGTCTCCACACATTTCGCCCTGAGGAAGGTCGCAGTATGAAGGCCGAAACACTGGTCCCGAACAGCCAAGTGTACACAATTTATACAGTTTGTTTCTCAGTGGATGACCAGAACAATCCTGAATAGATAGAGGAACATGAGGAATCTGACTAAGTTTTCTCTACGTAACCAAAGACAGATTGGCTGTTATATACGAAAAAAAAAACTTATATGTGATACCCAAGGAATACTCAGACTCCGGGATTAAAAGCGAGCCACGCTGGGGCATAGGACTGAACGTGTTAAAGAACGACTTCGCACCTACGTTAGCGGACACCTCACTTAACGGCAAACTTTTGCCGGGTCCATCACTGATCGCTTATGACAGATTTCACTGTATATTAAAAACTGTTTTTGTATCACTAAATGAGAAACTCATTAAATGATTTAATGAGTCATCTTGAACTTGATATCCTTTCTTTACGTAGTGAGCTAATTGTTATAACATGAAGATAAATAACAAAAAAACAATATGAAGCTTTCCTAAATGAAAATGTTTTAGACTGCATAATTCAGTAGCAAGTCTCGAATATTCTACTTCACTGAATATCCGTGTTTCAAAATATTACTTCTTGTGAAAAGCATTTTTCGTTATATATTATAAGTAAAAAATATAAATATATCAAACCTGTATTGTGTTTAATTGCCTTTTGACAACACTGCAAAGCATCCATTTTGTAATCCGCTTTCATAAACAAATAAGCCTTCAAAATGTACACTTTTGCAATCACAGCATCCAGCAATAATACTCTGAGAGAGTCAGCTTTTACAAGAGAAAAGTAGACTTCTAGTAATGTTTTCTTAATTCTGGAGAGAAGAGAAAAAAATAGCTTATAATACATAGGTTACTTAGACTACCAATTGGATTTCAAATTGTGGTCCTACTGAGAAAAACTTGTAAGTCAAAAATCTCAAACTTAAAAGTAGGCTCAAAAAGAAGTTTCTTTTTATTACTTTCCATGGACATTTTGTTTATAAACAGTCTTTGGTGGGTTTGAACATAAAATAAATGTTTCATAAAATTAAAAATAAATGAAAATACTCATATAATTCAATAATAATAATAATAATAATAATAATAATAATAATAATAATAATAATAATAATAATAATGATAATACGTAATAATAACTGCACCCAAAGAACCCAAATTCATGTTTCCTACCGTGGTGCTTGGTCAAGAAATTTCACATCTATTTCTCAAGTTCCTCAAGGCTCACTATTCAATCGACATGTTTGGTATTTTTGTTACTGACATTGATACACAGGGTATACACTGATGAAAAAACTACACTAAAGCAATCGTAAGATTTTAGGAAAATACATTTACCTTGTAAGAAGGCATTGAGCCTCGTCATACTTCTTTCGAAACATTTTTATGTAAGCCATTAACATTTGAGCAGATACACCACTTTTCATGAGGAATTCCTCTTGAGTGTCATCCAAATTCTCGTGTGGCTTATCTCTTATAGTACATTTCTGCACCAGAATCTGACACATGATCTCTGCTTCATGAATTTTATCACACAGCAGGAAAGCAACAACAGCTTCATGGATTATATCTGAGTGGATACTCAACATTTGCAATGATGCATCTTTCTTGTAGTAAGTGCATAAGATATTCATGTAACATTTAGCTGCAATATCTGGTGTTTTGGATCTACTGTTGGATGATAAATAATGAAGCTAAAAAGAAAAAATATTAAAAAAATAACAGAATTAGATTAATTAGATGGGGCCCACTATAGTCTGTTACAGATACAGAAACAAGAACTAGAATTGTCTTTGAGCTTCGCACGAATTATGGTCAAAATTTGTGTCTATTTATCAGTCAAAGTGTCCCACCCGTAAAGCAAGTCGCACTTTCGCGTATGAATGATGTCGCCGACGTGCTCGAACATCTCAACCTGTTATTTGACTCGCAGGATGAACTGAAGGCTATGGTCCTGTCAATTAATGATTTATTATCCATTTTGCTTTTGTATAGCTTGCCGGCCTCTTTTGAAAATGTTCTGTGTGCGATAGTCTCGGGACGAGTTGCCTTACCAGATGCGCTACGTAACAAAATTGTTGAAGGGAGCGACGCTCGAAAAGGCGACCGAGGCTGTACAACACAATATGCTACGTTTGTTAAAAAAACAGAACAAGAAAAGGAAAAATTAATTTACAAGATAGAATGGTAAAGACCAAGATCCAGGAGATGACCGTTGCAATAAACGAGGTCACAGTGAGAAAGATTGCAGAGCTTTCTACAAAAACAATAAAGACAAGGCGAATCAAGCAGAGGTGCACCATTCCCTGAACGTCACATTCCAAGGTGACTCCTGAAGATTAGTGGACACCAACAAAAAAAAGAACAATTTGTGGTGCCTCCACATACGTGTAAAACACGGAAGCGTTTTCAAGAGTATATTCCAGCGATTCCGACTGCCTGAAATTGGCGATCTTTTCTCGACCATTCGACGTCGAACGCAAATGGAGTCGACCCAATTTTTACAATGTTAACGGACCTGACAAGTGCTATAATGTCTCATTTGTATGTGCCCGATCTGCGCACCAATCTGTCATCAGTCGGGAAAATGGTAAATAAAGGACATAGTGTAATTGAAAAAAAGTCCGCACGAGCAGTCGCCACGAATGGCAACGCATGTTCGTGGCAGAGCGCACTGAACTGTGATAACGATTCAGGCACTCAAGAACTGGGACAAATTGCTGAAACCGATCACGTCACGGGTACGTCGATCATGCATTCGCACATACTACTCGAACACGTATTTTTGGAACGTTTGCTAAATGTAAAAAAGTTTTAAAATGCATCCGTTTCAAGAGTGTCTCTTCTTCTGTCTGGTCAGTCGGTAGCTCGCTATGTATACAAACCGCCACGTCGGTCTTTTAGTAAATACATGTTATTTTGTGTTATACGTGCCGTTTCACTGCTTTCTAGATCCCGGTATTTAATATGCATCTCTTTTCAAAGTCCGCTAATAAAAATGAAAGGGAAGTAATTGAGCTACAGATGGAATTGAGTGCGAAAATGAACAAAAAGAAAAACATTGTTGCTCTTACCTCAAGCCATAACAATTCCTTTCCGATCATGCAGAGAATATCTTCTGGCTGATGGGACTCTCCTTGACGAAGTACGCTTAATATCTTATTCTCAGCACTAAATTTGCAATTTCTTTCAAAAGAAGGTGTATTGGCAATAAACTGAAAGCAAATATACTCGTTAACATTAAATAAAATTAAGAACAATAAAGTGTCAATGCACAGAGAGTTATTTGGCTCAAATAGGCATTCATGTTTAAAATTGGGCATAAATCGCAAAATAGAAAATCTCTAGTGTAACCAAAAAGATGAAATTTGTTAAGATTCGTTTGAAAAATCTAGCTTATTTGTATTAGCAAAGAAAAGCATTTTGCCTAATTTTCGGTCTCCAATTATAGAACTAATATCTCCACGCAGGAATCATATTAAACAGGTGACAATATTGCAATGCATCACTAATTGGCCGGCGTCGCTAGCCGAATTCCTTATCTACCCTCCGCGGTTATGGATTTGGTGTGGACGGCATGGATCTGCATTTTCTATTGTTTTGGATTTTCTTTCTTCGAAGTTTGGATTGGCCGGCTACTTTCGGTTCCCAAGAAGGACTGGGAATGGGTAGGTCAAGGAGTAGTTCAGGATTGAGACGGGTTATTTTGTTGAAGAAAGAATAGTTGAAAGGGTAAGGAAATAAAAGGATGGAAAGAGCAGAGATGTTACTTTATTATAGATTTGAGGGGTAGGAATGAAGTAGGAAATTTTTGAGAGAGTTGAGAGAGAGAAGTTTTGTTGAGGGTTGTCATGTTCTGCGAGTCCTAGTTTCTTGAGTAATTTTAGGTCGAAAAAGGGAGGAAGTTGAAGGATATCTAGGGGGTGCTTTTTTCCGGATATGGCATGGAAGGAAGTTGAGAATGTGTTGGTAAGGTTGAATGAGATGAGTGAAGATGGGATTGCTGCACTGTGTTGCGGGATGAGTTCAAAATATATTGGAGAAGTGAATGGATGTTGTGTTGGGAAGATGTTGGTTCGGAAAATGTAGTTTTGGCCGGGAAGATAAGCTGGATAACACGGTTTTCAAAACGTTTGAGGTGTTTTTGTGATGAGTGGGGGATTGTTGACCAAGTGAGAGAGGCGTATGTAATGATGGATCTGCTGTGAGTAAAATACAGGAGTTTTTTGTTGATATAAAGTGAAGGGTGGATTGGATGAAGTTGATTTTTTGGGTTGCTTTGGAAATAATGGTTTTGAGATGGGGAGTCCAGGTTAATTTTGAGTTGAAGGTGATGCCGAGATATTTTATTTCTGAGGACCAAGGGTTAGGTGTGCTGTTGATGGAGATAGGCGCGAAAGGGCGTGCAGTTTCGCCAGATAAAGATGATAGCTTGGCATTTAGAAGGGTTGATAGTGATAAGAGCTTTCTTGGAACCACTGGGAAATTGTATTACCTGCATTTAGAATATTGAGAACAATGGGATGAGAGAAGGGCCAAGTCATCTGCGTAAAGAAGTTGCTGAATGCCATGACAAGGAAGATAGTTTAGATAGACTGAAAAGAGTACGAGAAAGACCTGCACCTTGTGGAATTCCCGCCGAGATGGGGTGGGAGGGGGAAAAGTGTGAGAGATATTGATTTTGAAAGTTGTGTTAGTTGGATTGAAGATTTAGAGCAAAAGTTGGAAGGTATGATTTTAATTTGAACAAAATAATTTGGTGATTGCGGCGAAAGCAATGGTCGATGAAAAGAGGTGTCTGGCGGGTTTTATATCAAAGTTCTGTGGCGATGTTTAGGCAAAGTGGAGTGTTTGATGGACCTAGGATAGGTCAGAGCGGAAGCCGAATTGTAAAGAGTGAATGTAGGGTTGAAGGTATGGTTTCATGAATTTTAGATTTTTTTCGAATAGTTTTCCAGGAATAGAGAGAAAGCTGATAGGTCGATAGATTGCGGGTTGTCTGGGGCGTTTGCGAGGTTTAGGGATCATAGTGACTGTGGCGATTTTCGAAAATTTGGGGAAATAAGCAGTCTGACGACAAGCACTGAAGATTAAGGGTATGTGGGAGATTCCAATTAAAGTTAACTTTTTAAGATATGTAGGATAGATTTTGTCGGGCCTAGAGTTTGTTGGTTTGAAGAGATTTTATTGCCCCAATGATGTCGTCATGTATAGTTCAGATAGACTGTCTTTCTGGAAGTAAGGATGGGGTTCGTATAAACTGAAGGATACTGGAATCTCGGATTTGAGTGTTGGTGAAGGTAAAGTGGGTTGCAAGGGTGCTGGCAAACATGTTTATTTCTTGTCGATCGTATGTAAGGGAGTTGTCAGGGGTAAAGAGAGGATAGGTGTGAATTCTTCATCGGATGAGGGATTTAAGGTATATAGTTTGTTGAGGTTGCCTTTATTAGTGTCCTGTGTTAGTTCGTCGAATATTAGTCTGTCATGGAGTTGTTTTAGTGTTATGTAAGTGATTTTGTCAATTTATGATTGTGTAATAAAGTTTTGGGCTTTTCGTTTCTGTTTTAGGAGGTCAAGAGGTAGGGTGGGGTGAAGGTTGATGAACTATAGAGGGCTTTCTTGATGGGTTGAAGTGTGAAATGGCTGATTCAACTTGGTCCGGGGTAGATATGGAAGTGAGGCAGTGGTTCTTTCTTGAAATATGGCGTCTGAATTGTGACCACTGATTTGGACGGAGGAGAGGTGTTGGGTGGGGTATGCTGCAGCTCGAATTGGGAAAATAACAGGAAGGTGATCGGGTTAGTTCGTGTCGTACGTATAAGGCAGTGACATTGGTATTGTGACTGTGAAGTATGTATAGTATGTCATGAGGAGTGCTGGCGAAATGGTGGTGGATGGGATAAGTGGGTTCAGGAGGGCCTGAACGATAATTTCTGGTACTCTAGATGTTCGTGAAGAATTTGTCCGTTCGTGTAGGTAGTTCGGAATCCCCAATTTACAATTTATGTCGCCGGCAATGACAGTGGGAGTGGGTGATGAGAAGAGAAAGGTCTTCAGAATCTAGTCTCGTGGTTTGTAAAGCAATGTTGATAGGTGTGTCGGGGGAAGGTATTTGTATACTTGTTGATTCTATGGTGGTTATGGCCAGAGAGGTTATGCGGATGTGGGGAATGTTTCGTATTAGGATGGCGGTTCCGCCTCCATGGGTTGGTCTATCAGAACGGTAAGTAATGAAATTGGGAACACTGAAAGAAGCGTGTGATTTAAGGAGTTTCCAGAATACGAATGCTGATAGAATAGTCCGAGAGAAATTGTTTAATAGAAGGTTTCTTGGTGGATAAATCCCCGTTGGAGTTCCAGGTGCTCACAGAATTCGGTTCAGAGAAAAGTTCACAGAATTTGGATCCAGCGAGATTAATTTAGACAGTCATCAAAAGACTTGTAGATGTGAATAATTTCCTTGATAGTTTGGAGAAGCTTGGCAAGATTGCACGATTTTATGAGGGTGAAGAGTTCTTTAAGATCTGTGACGATGGAGGTGGATAAAGAAGATTCTGTTAGGTGCGGGATGGTTTTGTGACGGAGGTTTTGGTGTTGTGAGGGAACGTACGGTTCCGAATACGAAATGCCGATTTCCTGGCTGAAGGGATCAAAGGCAATGGCTACAACTAAGACTGACAATGACTAACTAGAAAGGATTACTCCAAACGTCCCATGGCTGTACATAATTAGGCCGAGGTTGCCAGCAACGTGGATCGCGTTATGCCAAACATCTCGGCCAGTACAATTGCCGAACAGTCGTGTGAACGGCAAGGTAATGTGCCGACTCAGCTAGTCTCTGCCCATTAATAATGAACTTTTAAATCAGGATGGCAGTTGGCGGTAATTCAAAAATTGAAAAAGACTATGTAAACGGATGTACATCATTAGATTTTCTTTTCTTTTTTACTTTCCCGTATACGTACGTGTATACGTAATAACATAGTAGCATAGAGAAAGTTCTGTAATGCTGATGAAAATCGATGTCGGCATTTCAACGGAAATGCGCGTTTTGGGGTTTCCTTTATTCCAAGGGTTTTTTTTCTTCTTTCTTAAAAACGTCCGTCCGTCTGCAGTATGTGAAGCATACTAGTGCCTACACTATGCGTAGATTTTTTCCAAACTGAATATCTGGCCTCGATGCTCTGGAATTTTGAATATCATTCTTTAATTTTAGGGGGGTAGTTAACATGAAGCCCATGTAACCTTTCAAATTTTTTTCAAAATGGCACCAATTTTTTTTTCTTTTATCTTTTTGTCAAAAGAGAACGAAATACATTTCCAAAAATGACATAGGTCCGATTTATACTGTTAACTCTGTATTTACGAAAAATTGCAAAAGTTCGTGCCTTTATACAACTACAAATTTTATGATAGAGATTCAAATAAAATTTGTTCTCCATAATTTTCTTCCATTACGCTTGAGTACATAAAACAATTTGCAGTTTTGCGTAATATTGAGTGAAGTAAGTGCAATATTGAAAGATATTCAACACAAAAATTACTCAAAATCGGCTCCAAGTTTTTTTCTTGAAACTTTTAATAGGGATAGTACTAAATGTACTGCATAATATGACATAAAGCCATTTTTCTCTTTTCTTTTTTTTATATTTTTTAAAATTACACTATTGTAATATTTTGACATATTTCACATCAATAATTACATTAACGGCGATTTGTATACATTATTGAATTTATTAAAACAAGTGCTTCAAACGATGTCTTATAAAGTTATGGAGCACTCAAAAGTTTTCTGTGAAATGAGCTCAAAATTCTGCATATTCAGAAACACTATTTTCTCAAAGAATGGCTCCAAATTTTTTGTTATGTTTTGTGCGGATAATGCTAAATGTACTGTATAAGATGACATAAAAACAATGTATTCTTATGTTATTTTAAAAAATTACGCAAATATATTTTATTGAAATATCACTCTCACACCATTAATATGCACATTTCCAGCGAATTGTATACATTATTGCATTTGTGAGTGGAAGTGCTTCATATGTTATCCAATGAATTTTTTCAAAAACTCAAAATTTTTCTGGGGAAAAGAGCTTTAGAGTTTGTTTACTTTTACAAATAGTCTTCCTTACAACTGAGCTAATTATAATATTATTAACCCCTGCAGAAAAGACTTGTTGCAAACTCTATTAATAATTCAACATCATATAGATTATGAATTGGAGTGGAGATATTAGAGCTCAACAAATTACATCTGTAATTTCATTAAGAAAGTAAAATATTTATTTCTTTTTAATAACTGGTCTAGGCTAAATACTCACTGTTTGAAAACAATGAAGAACTCTAACAAGTTTGTCAATAACAGCATCTGAACCATGTTCAGCACTTTCTTCATAGAAAGTACGCACACCAATCTTCAGATTGTTTAGAATATTGATGAGCCCCTCATAAATGAACTGCTTTGATTGCAAAACGTGTGTGAATTCTAAGTGGGCATCCACAGCAAGGCCACTCAACTGAGCGTGCTTCCCTTTGAGAAGATGGAAATGCTTTTCAGCAGCCGCATTCAACGGAATCTTCGAGAGCTTATGTATATGTAGTTGTGACACATCCATTGCTTGTAATTGCAGACACGCATCAGCTGGAATCACAAAATATAAAAATGATTTGCTTCTGTACTCTATTACACCACTATTGTTCATCATTTTTTGTTACAGCAGGACATGTAATGAAATCATGAATCCAATATATAATATTTCTCAAGCATTTAGAATACAAGAATAAGAAACGAGATCCTATTACATTAGTATTTTCATTTTAAAGTCAATACTGATAGACATAATGTTAAGAACTCTCAATATTAAAAGTATTGTTGAAGGTCTCAACATAAATAAGCATTTCTGACACAAATCTGTAAGAAAACATTAATTTATAAATTCTTAGAAACCTTACCTGTTTTTTTATACAGACTAATTTTAGTACAATGGTTAAACTTTTTACAATGAAAAATAAAATGTACCCTAAAAGGTGTTACATATTCTCAATTACATGTATATTATTTGTGATTTCACACACTTTTTACATGTAGAAAATTACAGATAAGATTTATGTTGTAAAATTTTTAAAGTAAATTTTATGCAAGTTTTAATTGTGAAAAGTTTTAACCCTTGTACAAAAATCTAAAATAAAGTATCACTACAAAAGGTTAGTAAGAATTGCAGTTAGTTATAACTTGTAGTTGATTAGAAAAGTTTAGTTTGGTGTCCCCTCATCCAGTCAATGCTCTGGTTGGTGACAAGGAGATTAAGATCACTAAACACTTTAACATCATCACATAAGGATACCATGACTCAAAGGAAGATGGAATTCACAATGAAAAAATAGCTCTGGAGGAAGACCTACTCTTAATTCACAACTCAATGGTACCATAATAATTAATTGTTTACCAATGAAAACATATTGAAAACAGATTTTCAATTAGGCTTTGAAAATATGGCATCCATAATAAAAAATATCATACAGAGAACTATCAAGAAGGAAAGGATATTAAAATACAATATTACACAAGCAGAAAAATGGAAATGAGGTTTATACAAAATTAATTCTTTAGTGGAATGACAAATGCCCTATATTAATAGAGTAATCAATCATAAAGAACTGACCTTGAATGTATGTACTCATGAAATTGCAGCAATTGTCCGAAAGAAAGTTGGTGTGGAAGTCAGTACAGTCTTGAAGATAACCCAATCCATATAACAACGAACACCCCATTACACTCAAGTTCTCACACACTTTGGGAATAGAATAGTCTGTGGTTTCATTTACTTTTAAAAATCCAAATTTGAATAATTTTATAATTTTTCTATTTGATGTAGAGATACTGTTGCCTTTAAGTGACTCAGCAAATTTTGTTTTAATTAGGGGCCATTTGTCTTTGAGAATGAAAATTATTGATTTAAGTAACTTTGAAGATGCCAATTTAAATTGAAGGAACAAATGTAAACATAAAAGACAGAGGTCAATGATTTGAAAACACTGGGGTATCTCACAATCTGTTACACTTCCAATTACAGAATTCAACATAGAAAGAACTATTTCACCTCTGCTTTCATGAGATGTAGGTTTCGTCTGCACATTGATACTCATCAAAACTGAAAAGAAGGTTTCAAAGTTAATACCATAATCAAGAAAATCAATATAGAAAATTGAATACAAATTCTTACATACCTTTTTTAAAACAATCTTCTAACATTTCAAACAACATATCCTTGTCTTCATCTTCGCACGTTCTCTTAGCCCATAGCAACCACAGTACATTGAAGAGGCTATTTAAATATACTTCGAAAGGAATTGAGCAAGCAGAACTTGACAGAGTTTTAATTTTATGGAAAAAGTTCACCAAATCAGATTCTATCCATTCTTGCTGAATAGAAGTCTCAAGAACATTCTGGAAAAAATTATTACTGATTTAGTTTATTTTTAATGTAAGTGGTAATATCTCAAAACGAATATTGAAAATGATACTGTACCATGCTTCGAACAACATTTGCATTTCCTTCCAACATTAACACGAGAACGTGGCATTCAAAATCGACAGCACACGCATCTAATCGAGAACCTAAAAACAAATTACAGTTTTCACTTCTACGGCGAATATTAAACAATATGTCTTCTATTTCTTCCACACAAGCATCGTACTTCTCCAAATTATACAAACGTTCGTATTTCACTTCGCTCATTATATCAAAAATCTCTGTTCGACAAAAGATTATTTAAGCAATTAATGCTTCTCTAGTATTTCAAGTAAATTTATATTTTTATCCCGTACAAATAATATTAACAACACCCATAAATTGGTGTCATCCCTTCTTCAACCCAACTTCGTTCACAATTTTCGCGGTATTTCCATCAGGAAGAACTAGTTGTATCTCGCGAACCTCATTGCTGCAGAAGTGCTGCCTCCACAGCGTTGGCGGTCATCCCGTGTTCCAGATGATGCTGTTTAGCGTGCGACGAAGTGTTGAATTTTATTTCGTATACATTTAGAAGAGCTTTTCGTATGATAGAATGATTGTCTATTGATAGGGGCTTGTGTATTGAAAGTGTAATTGACCATAATCACATGTGTTGTATTTGGATGCGAAAAAAAAGAGAGAGAAAAAGAGTGAAAAAACGTTCCGAGTAATTTAAAAATGTGCAATTTAGATTTAAGTTATGCTTCTTCGGCTTTCCAAAAGATACGTAAATACTCGAAAACTGGATAGCGGCTGTGAGAAGGGAAACTGGACCCCCCAAACGTCATGCGTGGATCCACGGGGAGGAAAATAAGGGAAATTTTCTCCCTAAAAATGTTCAGTAACTATTAAATTTAACTTGTCATGAAACTTTCAAGCAAAAATATTTCCGAATAATCATTAAAACGAATAAAATCGTATCGCAGCAAGAGCTGAGTGTAACCTGCGACATTTTACAAAATCTGTAATACGACACATTCGACCAAAACATATTTAATTTCCCCTCGCAAAATTTGTCACTGAATCCGCCTCTGCCCTACGTATTGTTCTACACTATGTTCAGTGCATTTTAAAAGTGATGATTTTGATCTCACGCCTTCGGCTCGCGTACAATTAAAGACAGGATATATCCTCTCCTGATTTTCCGCAGAGATCTGCACTTTTAATTCTTGTTAATATATTTTAGTGTGAATACATGTTGAAATTTTATGACTTGGGTGTTATTTATATTGCCCTACAATTGATGTCACAGCAGAATAATAGTTCTACATGAACATAGGGAATTATATAATATCAAGGCCAACATGTTAAGTTCCGTATTTTGTTATCATGTCAATATGATATGCTCAAAATTAGCTGTATTCTTAAGGAAAAAGCACCTACAAATATTATATTAAAAAAACAGGAAATTGTTTGTCCAATATTATTCAATTCAATTACGACGCATTTGGCCACAGATTTTGCGACAGACAGTAGTTTTAAAAACTTCTTTGAAATAACTCAGAATCAAATAATTTTAAACTTAAATTTATTCTATTTTTCATTACTCAAAGTAACTGCAACGTTTCGAGGTTATGGATTTGTCCATATCTTCAGGCTTTGTGGTTTTTAAAGATTGTAAATAATGAGTTGCTGACGTTAATGTCTAAACGATACAATCATAATGAAACCCTAGTACTCGATGCATTTTTTTACATTTTTCTAATATATATTTTATCTATTTATCTAAATGGTGAATCTTCATCAAAAAAGCCTCGAAATGCAGTGATATATTTTGACGTGAAGACGGGCCTTGCGTGGCAGCTATATTAAAATCGCACTATAATCGTATATTATGTGTATAATCAACCCACTAAGTCACAGCTATAAATAAATAAGTTGTCATTTACTTGCATTGCCTGAACGTGTACAAACACAGCATCATAATATGTATGAGCCATTAAATTTTGTGAATTTTCAAGACTTTATTTATGTCAAAGCTAAGCCCAAATATTACATAATTCATCAAATCAACTGTTTTGTTCTGCCACTAGGGCGATCAAGTCGGATTCCAATCCATTCCAACGTGTTGGAATGGAAAAATGACATCAAATGTTCATTAAAACTTGCCATTAAAAATACGTTTCATAAAAGATGCTAACATTAAAACCATTGGGGATAACAAATAATATTTGAAGCGCGAGGTTTGAGTATTGAAATTCAATCATTAAAATTGAATTCATCTTAGGAAATTGCGCCCTGTACAGCAATTTTCTTTGAAAAAATTGGAGCCAGTTTTAAGTAAACGGCGTTTAATCGCTACTGTAAATTCGGAATTTAAAACTATTTTTTACAGAAAATGTTTGAGTTTTTGAAAATCTTCATTACACTTAAAAAGTGGTACTACAGAATGGCACAGACTTTCCGCATTTCTTTGCTACCTTCTTTGGTCTCCGCTAGCTATACGAACTTGTCACATCGTCTTGCCAGCTGCTATCTATCACCGCCCGAATTGCATTTTTACTTTCCCGTATACATACGTATATATAAAGTAATAAACGTAGTATATGGAAAGTTATATAATGCTGCGAGAAAAACCTGCGGATTTTGGTCAGAATTGCAGGGAATTCATTGCAGGGCCCTGACAACGAAAACGTGAATAATTCCAGTTGCTGAATTAAGAAAAATAAGTGATGTTACATGATAGTACAGACTTTCCCGTATTAGTTTTCTATTTCTTATGATCTCAGCTAGCTATACGAACTTGCCACATATTCTTGCCAGCTGCCATCTAACGACATCCAAAGTACACTTAAAAAAAATTAATTTTTCGGTTTCCTAATAGAACGGAAATATTTTTTATGGATATTAAAGAACAGTAGAAACTCGACTTAAATTGCAAATTTTCTTGAAAAATTGCAGCTGTTTTAAGAAAATGGCGCTTCAGCCCTATTGTAAATTCGAAATTTTAAGCTCTTTTTCACAGAAAAAATTTTCATTTTCAAAAAGCTTAATTTGAAGTCATTTGAAGCACTTCAACTCACAAATACAATAATGCTAACAAATTGCTAGAAGTGTGCAAATTAACAGCGTGAGAGATCTTTTAAAAATTACATTTGTGTAATTTCTAAAAAAAAAAACGAATGATTTTTACGTCATATTAAAAAGTGCACTTAGCACTCTCTGTTCGAAAAATTTGAAGGAACATTTTGGAGCCGTTTTTCAGAAAATGGCGTTTGCGCGTTTCAGAAAATGCGCAATTTTGAACTAATTTTCATAGAAAACAGTTTCAGTTCAGTTAAAGTCTTCCCGAGAAACTTTATGTGACATTGTTTAAAGAACAGTATTCATATATACAATAATGTGAACAAATGGCCGCTAATATAAATATTAATGGCCTGAGAGAAAAGTAAAAAAAACAAAAGAATAGAGAGAATAATTTTTAGCAAAACAAAAGAATAGAGCAATATGGCGTTTTTGTAATTCTTATCCCTACCAAAAGTTTAAAAAAAATGGAGCAGGTTTTGAGAAAATCTTGTTTTTGTAATTTTCTTAAAATTGCACAAATTGCACGTAATATTGCGCGAAAACTATTAAAATTTTCAAAAGAATGTACATGACGTTAATGAAAGAAAAATTATGGACAAATTGTATTTGGAGATATATGGAAATCCCGAAAGAATTCAAACTTTGAAATTTTCGAAAATTGGAGTTAACAGTAAAAATCGGACCTGTGCCACATTTATAAGTGCATTTTACTCTCTTCTTACAATAAACGAAATTTAAAGAAATAATTTGGAGCCGTTTTGGGGAAAATTTTGAAAATGTCCCTGGCGCTTCATGTAAAATAACTAAAGAATTATTTTCAAAAACGCAGAGCTTCGACACAGGTCAGAATATACAGGAGTTTCTTCAAAAAATCCTACGCATGATTTAGGCGTTAATGTTGTTCACATACACCAGATGGAGAGACAGATGGACAGACGGACGGACGTTTTTAAAAAAAGCAACACTTTTTCGGTATTAGGGGGCCCCAAAACGTGTATCCCCGTTTAAATCTTGAAACTAATTTTCCGAAGCATTACATAACTTTCCCTATACTACGTATATTACTCCGTATATATCGTATGTATACGGGAAAGTAACTAGCGGTGCTACAAAATGGCACAGAATTTCCCGTATTAGTTTTCTATTTCCTTTGCCTCGCCTACCCACATACTCTTGCCAGCTGCCATCTATCGCCACCCAAAGTACATTTTTTTGACATTGCCTTAATTTTTCGGTTTTCTAATTGTAGAGCGAAAATGTTATTTTAAGATTATTAAAGAACAGTAAAACCTCTTCCTAAATGTCAATGTTAATTGAAAAATTTGGAGTCGTTTTTAAAAAAACTGGCGTTTAAGCGCTACTTTTAATACGAAATTTGAAGTTTTTCACAGAATATTTTTGAGTTTTCGAAAAACTTGGTTTCGAAACACTTACTTTCGAATACTACGTATATTACTCCGTATACATACGTATACGGGAAATAAAAAGCAGCTACTTCTAGGGCATTTACAACGTGCTAAAAAGTTCAATTGTTAACATTAGTGCGAAAAGCCACCATAATGTATAATAGAACCCAATTTAAGTGATTTATATATTTAAAAATGAAAGTCAGTAGGGCTATCTAAAATAGTGTAGGACATCCATGGTAAGGGTGAATTAATTTTGTTCCTAGGATTGCACCACTCGGCCCACCGTCCTTGTGTTGCAACGTCTCTTACTCGCAAAATAAAATCTTTTACCACTCTTATCATAAATATTTTTAAAATATGGTGATAAAACTGTGTAACATTTGTAGGTTTCAATAAAGATACATTTATTATAATTAATACATAAAAAATCGTCTTTTAGAATTTAGTGGGAAATATAGCTATTCAAATTATCTCTTTCCATGACGCGACAGGAAGTATATTTCTTCACGAAGGATGCGATGAGAGATAAAGAGCTCAAGTCTATAGCTGATTTGCCCATGAAAATACATTTTATTACGTCACAGTGAATATTCTGTTAACAATTCTTGCTAAAAACGTTCATTTCTTTCTGTATTAAGAATTCAACCTGTATATGGCTTAGGATAGGGATCCCAAAATTAAGAAAAAGTACACAGAATACACTTCTTCCCGTAGCACGTCACACTGTTTTGACGTAAAATAAGCAAATATAAAAAATGGTGGAGTTAGAGTTTAAGGTTCTCCTACTTCGTGAAGAATTACGAACATTTCTGGGACAATACTTATGAACATTTTGGATTGTTTTCAAACTTATATTAAAGTTTAATGTAGATATTATTTATATCAATGATAATTTTAAAAAAATCATTTTAAAAACTGAGTTTACAAAGACATTCGGAGGGAGCTTCTTCTACTCCACTAGCACAGGGGTTCGAAATTCGAAAGCTGACATTATTCATATCCGCTTAATGAGCACATGCATCCAGATCTTTTATACACTTTCTTTTATATAAAATAGCACCTTAGTAGTAATTCTAAGGCAGTGATAATAATTACTTTGAACCATTTTCGAAATGAAAAGGTGACTTAATGAACTCGTCCATTAAAATAATATTTCTTGAAATGAAGTTAGTGAATAAGATGTGCAGTCAGAACCTAAGCAAACCGAAAGGAAGCAAATATCATTTTAATTAATAAAATTTGACAAGAAACAAACCTTGGAAACCGCATAATACAACCGAAAATTTACCAATACTCAGGAAACGCTTACCCGCAATCCTAAACTTGTCACCCAACACTTTCCCGCCAAATGTTGAGACGAAATTCTGACATGCTCAAATGAAATAGCGCCCCAAGCGGTAGCGCTGAAAGTCGTCACTCCAACATCGTGGTCTGCGTCAGGTCTGCGTTGGTCAGTCCAGACTCTCCAGAGAGTATCTATATAGCATGGTATATGGGGTCAGCCGGGACAGCCTTGGTTGCCTTACTGGTGCCGGTAGTTAGATTGACGAGTATAGGTTAAAGAGTTTTTGAAGGCAAAAATACGGACTTTCCAAGATTGGTGGATAGTATTTTGTGCTGATGGAATTATTTGAATATTGTTGGTTACTCTGTCTGCGAATCTCTTGAACTGTTATTGGGAGTTGCGCAAGTTTGGTTTTTGGAAATTATTATCGGTAGATTGTATTCAGGAAACAGCGTTTGTAAACAAACCTAATTATGGATGAGAAAATCGATGTGGTGTGTATTGAAATATGCTTAGAAAAGTGTTTCTGTATTCTGTGGTACTTGTGTATTATTTTAATTCTTATGCACAACAGGATTGGGGCAACGAAAAGTTGCAGAAAGCCCAAAGACAGATAGATGACAATGCATACGACTTGGAAGCTTGGAGCTTGTTGATAAGAGAAGCACAAACCAAATGGATCGGTGAAATGAGGCCTCTCTTTGAAAAGTTGGTGGGCACATTTCCAAGTGCGGGCAGATACTGGAAAATTTACATTGAACAGGAGGTGAGTGATTATCAGGGAACCCAACACTGCTTCAACTGATGTGTTGCTTTTATGAAGCAATACCATCACCAAGCACGACATTCAGGCCGTGGAAAACTTCTTTTAACCGTGGAGTATGTCAACACAGTTGTATCAAAAAATTGATACAAATTTTCTTGCATTAAACCTTTGCATGTTCGTTGTCTTGTATTGTTTGGCCCACTGTTTTTAAATGTTTCTGAGTCAGATTATCATTTAGGTAGGCGTGTAACTTAAGTAAATGTTTACTAATGTATTGACGAAACATTGTCAGCTCTAGAATGACAGAATTGTTGTACCAATTGTTTTGCAAATATTTTTATGACCAATGTGAGTATATTCACAAGTATCGGTAATAAAGAGTATCAGAATTAGTAAATGGTTTTCTAGCAGACTTCAACTTTTTAGTGTCTGTTCAATGTTGAACATACATGCGAGGACCAACTGGATTTTAAGTTACTCTAAATATCTTGTTATATGTACATTGAATTTGTTTTGTGTGCTGTGGATGTTGGAGAGGATAGTACGAAGGAATATGAGTAACAATGTTTTGATATACCAGAAGACATTCTATTTCTAATTCATTTTATATTTGCATGTGCAATGGTGTGATCTGTTTACATAACACTGCCAACTTTGCGAGTTGCACATTTACAGTAGATACATGATTAGAGTTGATGTAGAGGGTGGTAAGTGGGATGTAGAAACATCCTCAGTGCTTGGTGATGTGAAATGTGAAAGCTTGGTTATCACTCGTTTGTTCTGTTAGCATGGCTACATACTTGTTTATCGTTGTCCTTGTGTTATCATTAATGGTGATGAGAATGTCAGGTTCTATTGATGTAATGTATCTTGAAATGGAAGATAATGTGGAAATAATGAGAACTCTGCCTGATGTATTAGAATAAGTAAGTGCTTCAACTTTTGACATATTTCCATTGAAATCAAATGATAGATATGGGAAAGAATTTAGGGCATTTTGTAAGTGACAAGATGCAAGATGGGGTAGAAGTGTCTTATGGAATGTTTTTCTCTCATTCTGTTCTGAAATTAGTGAAAAGTACTGTCAAACATAGCAATTCAATTACAATTAATGTAAATAGTTCCCAATAAAATATTAGAATACATGTTTTGAATGTATTGATAGCTAACTCGATGTTTTCACATGGCACCTATGCTTCATGGCTTGCTGATGGTTGTTTGTTTCTAACCTAGATGAAGATGTGACTTGCATTATAAGTAAAAGTGCTGAACGCATTGACAAACAAGATCCGTAACAGGTTAACTGTCACAAAATTTTAATATTACACAAGGCTCCTTGGATCCCTGTGAGTAGCAGTTGTATGGAAAAAGACGGTGACAGTGAAGTCAGGAAAAAATCATTACAAGACGATTGTATCAGAATCATCCTGGAATGAACATTTTTCTTGCCATAAAACAGTACAACAGTGACCAACTTTCCAGACAGTCTTGAATAAAATATTTTTAGTGACTTTTGTGAATGACACTTTTTGCTCTTAATATATTTGTTGCATGTTACCTTAATTGTGTTGTAGAGGCTTGACTTCTAGCCTACTAGACATAAAAGAACATTCTGGTTGTGCATTTTTAGAATTTAAATCTAACTTTACTAACTTGTTTTTCCATCACAAAGATAAACACAAATTTTCACGGGAAGAATCAATTACTTTGTCATTATGAGTTAAGACTTACTCAAAAAAGAAGACACTAAAGTTTTCAGTGGAAGTGAATTAGACACTATTCATTTCCTCCTCAAAAGCAAAATTAAAATCAACCCTCAACCCTGCAAGAAGAAAGCCTTAGTGTGACCCTAATTGAAGGTACATCTATTCAAAGAAGAAAGTGTGAGATATTTATATGAAAGAAGACTTAACAATAAACTACAAAAATTAAACAAACAAAACAGAAATATTCTGACCAACTCTAAAACAAGAAATAATAAAAGCAGCTAAAGAAATCTTAGATGTTACAAAGCCAAAAAAGGAGAAGTGGATAAGATCCTGGAATGAAGAAATACAAGAAATCATTGTAAACAAAAAGAAAGAAGAGAAGAAATTCCTACATACACAGAAACAAGAGGACTATATAACATATAAAAAGTGAAGAAAAGCAAGGAAAGAAACTAGAAGAATAAAAAGAGAAGACTTGTATGTAAAATCAATAGAGATAGACATCACTGGACCACAAAGAATTGGCTTTAAAATGCTAATAATGCTTGGGACTGAAAAAAGGTACAGTGTGAATATAGGCCTAATACCAGAGGCTGTGGGTAATACAGTATAAAATTGTGGAACAATGACAATCGCGTATCAAACATAAACATGATCTCAGATTTGGGAAATCAACCTGTTGGAGAAATAACAATCGAAGATCTTGAACAAGTACTTAAAAAAGCTAAAAACAGAAAAGCCCTGGATTGGATGAAAATGATTTACCACCGTACAATATTAGATTTTCAGATACAATTTAGTACACTGCACTATATTAGACAAAAGAAATGAAAGGAACTTTACACTACCAACACATGATGTTCATAGATTTTAAAAAGGCTTTTGATATGGTGAACAGGGCCACACTGTGGAAAATATTAGAAGAAAAAGAAGGAATACCGGAAGAAATTATCAATGGAATAAAAACCACTCAGTATGGACTCAAAAATTACCATAAAAATTAAAGATGGGACCATCACGAAATCACTCAAAATTCAGAGGACTGAGACAGGGATGTGGCCTATCACCCAACCTTGACAATATTTATGCCAACAGTCTCATCAAAGAATGGAAGAAGTCAGTGAATCAAGGTGTACAACTTAATAAAAAAACAAATAATGGCAGATGGCCAAATAATTTTGGCTGAATCAGAAGATGAAGTCCAAATAGCAACACGAACCGAATAAAATAGCGAAGGCCTATAACATGAAAATCTCGACCTTAAAAAAAAAGGGCATTACAAGGAGAGGAATTATGAAGAGTGAAGATGGTCATTGAGGGGAAAATAATTGAGCAATTATCAGTATTCAAATATTTAGGCAATAACATTGAACTAAACTTCCAGGACTTTCAAAACAAAATTTTGAAATATAATACAATAAATAGATAAATTACAAGCCACTTTGGGAAGGACATAACGCAAGAAACCAAATTAACAATACACAACATGACAGCCAAACCAATGCTATCTTATGGATCAGAAACCTGGATCCTAAAACAGAGAAACAACTAAAAACTGGAAGGAGCTCTAGTGAGTTTCCTAAGACACCTCGTTTGCTCTACCAGACTGGATTAACAGAGAAATAAAGACATAAGGAAAAGATTGAAGATGACAAACAAAACCGAAGTAGTTCACAAGAACCATAGAAACGGCTGGAACATATTGAAAGAATGAAAGAAGGAAGATTCTTAAAGGTTGCCCTAAAAGAGAGGGATATAGAAGCCCAAGAAAGAAGTGGCAGGAATGCGGGAACACTAGGTAGACTGATGTATTTCAGATCTACTGCTTAACAAGGATAAGCCCCTCCCCTGGTCTTTCATCCTGCAGTTCATGATGATGATGAAATCCAATTCACATAATTATTTTTTTAAGTGTGGTCCTTCTTTGGACAAGAATTACAATCCCTTTGCTTGCTAATTCATAGAACACTACATCTTATAGTTTTCTCTGGTTCAGCAGTATTCTGGAAAAGACAAAATGTATGTGATAGCCACACATGCCACTTCTCCTAATTCAGAAATCTTTGGCCTCTGCCATCCACAATTGGAGAGTTTTTGAAGTTTTGCAAACCTGTTTAACCTCATAATATTCTGAAAAATTTTCTTTTCACCAAACATTTGCAGAAGTCAATTAAAACTCTTGTTTCTCAGTCATTTTTGTTAGTCTCAATGTTTTGATCACTCAGTTTCACTTCTTCACTCACATATTCATTCTTTTATCATATTATGAATTGTTTTTAAACTTTCAACAAATGCTGCTTCTCTATCAGAGATCTTTCTAAAGGTGTTAATTTCCTCCAATTATTTTCCAGCCGGCAATAGTCCACTATGTTTTTGTAATTAATTTACTGCCTGATTGCACTCTCCTATACCAATTTATTTATTAATTAGGGATTTAATTTTTCTGTAGAAGTAACAAAAACAAAGCAGCACTTATTTCTGGATGTAGCTTATCATTGGTCAGATGTAGTTTCACATCAGTACTAATCGTGCATTTTTGGTTTTGTGCTCAAAATTCAAAACAATTTCCAAATTCTCCCATTTGCATGTGTAAAATGAATGAGTAATACTGTCCTATTTTGTTTCGAGTGCTCCTAATATTTTCATTTGGACTTGATTACTTAATTCCCTTGATATGCAAAAGATCCAAAGTATGAATTTATAAATGTTAGCTTTTATTTAATTGACATTTTGGTATAATAATTCTCAGTTACTTCACTTTGGAAGTTTTGCAATTGGTAGGTGTGCGCTGCTTCAACTCCATTGTGTTTATACTGCGAAATTGAACAAGATTGTTTCTTGCATTTTGAGATGATTCATCTGAAATGTCTTGTGTTTTATTCTCAAAGAAACCAAGTGATAGTTTCATGTTTATTGGGTTTACAATAAAAAAATCCTATAGAAAACATTTCACATGGATGCTGAATCTTAGAGAAATTGAATGCAATCATAAACAAAATTTATTATTTCTGGAACTTTTGTCTGGGTGCTGGAATTCTGCATTTATATTGTAAAAAATTAAGTATAACTTGAAGCTTGTTTTGAATAATTCACATTTTTCTTTTGATAGCTCTTCCTGAGGCTCTCCAAATGACCTGCATGTGTGTAGTTTTAAAGGTTTTTCTAGGGCTTTGGAATGTCTTTGCTTCCCTATTGTTGTATGATGAAGTCACTTTCACTATTTGTGAAGAGATTTTATTTTGCTCTTAAATTAATATTGCTAATTTTAGCTCGGAAGGTAGAGATTATTAAGCAGAGTAGAAGAATGCTTGGAAAGAAATCCGATATTGCAATAAGATTTGATTCAATTCAGAAGGGTGGTATATTGTATACATGTATCCTTAAAATAATGTCTATGTTAAATATTTGAATTTGCGAAAACATGTTATTTGAATTTTTCTATCATTTTAGTTCCACATTATGAATTGTGATCTTGAGCCAAGCCTTTCAATTACAATCTAACCTAGTTTGGCTGTTACATCCTTTTTGATGCTACTATAACAGAATATGATACATCAAGAAATAGTGTGTGATTCTCACTTAGATGCAACTAACAATTGACTGATTTTTAATTTCTAGAAATAGACATTCTTGAAATATTTAAAATTTTTCTTCGTGGTGAAGTTATGGTGTAGTGTGTGTGTGTGTGTGTGTGTGTGTTAGTATTCTCTCTATGTGGGAAGACTAGCCTAGGTAAAAATGAACATGGGCTCAAGAACTTATCCATAGTATAGGTCATCTCAGTATCACAATGGTCAGAGGAGCTGGGTGAAAACAGGGAGATCTGGTTTTGATTCCCAGTCAAGGTGACACATTCCTGGCACAGTTTATTATAGTTGCAGAGTAACAAGGTCAAACATGAATATTGATGAGAAAAATACGTTCATGGTATTTGGCTTGCTGTACATTGTGACATAGAGGTGACAGTAACATAATATGAAATACAAATTTTAAAAAACAAATGGCCAGATTGATGCAGTAGTTTTGGCACTTCTATCATTTATTTTTGTTTTCAATTTATTATTCCAAATAACCAAAGGCTAATTCAATACTGGCGGATAATACATTTTGTGAATATATCTATAAACATCATCATTTGGTCAACCCTCCATGACATTAGTCCTAACTTTCCAACAATCTAGCATCATCAGCTAAATCATTTGACCAGCTTGTTACTTATTTTCCAAACTGTCCTGCTCTTCCCTTTGCAGTTCATTAAACAAAGGCAGACCGGTGTTCAAAATAGTTGTCTGACCCGTTGTGCTCTGAATCTGCTTCTTATGAAATTTTGTATCGGTAGGTTGGTAAAATTCATTGTATTAGTTACCTTTTATTTCATTCTGAAAGTCAAAACTTTTTTGTATATCTCAATTGTTAAATAGTCCATTTTTTAAAATATTAATCCTACTATATCATATTGTGTATGTTTAATACTGCTCTTAATCTCTTGTTGAAAGTGACTTGTCTTATACACAAGATTTTTAGCCTCTAAAATCACCCATTTATGGGCCTTTTAAATATGCTTTTAAAAAGGTGAAAATAAGTTATATATTTTACATAGGCAGTATAAATTGAGATGAAAAATACTTTTCAGAGTAAATTTTGTTTTATTCCCATCTTTTTTATTACAGAGATGCCAGTATTGGTATAGTTAAAATTGTAGGAATTGTGCAAAGAATATTTATAGGTGCTGATTTTGTGATTAGATGAAATACAGGTGTAGCAAGGGCAATGGTTACTATACTATACTATATAATGGTTACTATGCTGTATATTATGTACTGATGAATGAATGTGTTCAATAAAAAGTTTGTGATAAACAATCACGGCATGTCTTAATGTGATAGATTGTTGAAAGAAAATATAGCAATAAGGTAGCAGAAATTATCATTTTAAGTTTAAATTAATTGAAATGATTTAATTGAAAGATAATAGTTCAGACCTTAGAAAACTAAAAAAAAGAATAAAATGCTGAAAAAGGTATATTAAATTTAAAAAAAAGCAATGGCTGAAAAAACATGCAGAAAAATTGAAATGGTAGCAAATTTATGGCATCATAGAATAAGTGCATTCCTTAAATCAAATCTTTTATGTTATATTAGAAATTATCAAGAAATAGAACAATTGGTCTTGTAAAAACGATAAATGTTATTGCAATGGCAATTCAGATTTTGGCATGTAGGTGCTAAAAGTGCTAAAAAACTTTGGGAGACTGAAGAAACATCAAGAAGGAGCCCAAAAAGCTGAGATGTCAATATGGAAGATGAAATTAGCAAAATTGTAATGTTGGAAAAAGAGACTAATGAGGTCTGCTTGATTAGGGAGAGGTTTGGTATGTGAAATTTCTTAGTTGGGGTCAAGGGAGGAAGAAAAGAATGAGAAGAAGAAAAAAGAAAATAACAAAAAGAAGAGAAGAACTTGTCCATTATATAATGGATTGATTGCCGAAATGTTAAAGTTATGACTGCATTGTATGTCAATTGAAATAAAAGTTTTGAATTAAAGAGAGTGTTTTACAATTTGAGAAAAGATACATTCATTCTAAGACTGGTAAAAAAGTGGATGCTAAACTACGGAAAATTAAAAAAACTATTACTTGTAATTTTGGTGAAATTGGTTTCTTAGCAAAAAATGGCTTCTAAAAAATGAAAGGGAAAATTTTAAAAATTGGAAACCCACTCAAAAGTTATAATAAAAATGAAAGAAATTGACGCAGAAATAATACTTTTAATCATAAAAGAAGAAATGTGCACATTAAATGGAAACTGTTCGATGACTACAAAATTTCAAGAAATGACAGATATGAAGGAGAAGATGTATGCTTGTATGTATGGGTGTACCTAACATATGACCATCACAAATTGATTGCATGCTTGAAGTTGTTCCAGAAAGGATAGAAATTACTTCTGCTGAGAAGGGAAGAAGTATTTATTGGGAGTGAAAAAGGAAAAGGAGTTAGTGCGCTCAAAATAAAGTAGTAAAATTTAGTGCTGTGTGAACCTGTAATAAATGGCAATTTTTTATTCTTGCCTATAACAGTTAATAAAGGTAAGAAAATTGTGGTAGATGATAATGATGTTAAGATGAAAATGAAAGAAAAAAAATATTAAAATGAGACATTCTTAGAAGTAGATGAATGATTAAAAATATGGCATGAACAATTATTTTTATTTTATTGTATTTTATGCAGTACTAAGTCTGCGAATAGACCCCTTGATGGACTTATTTGTATAACAATTCGTTACAAAAATATAATCTTGTAACGGAGTTAAAATATTCTGACACTCTCCTGCACAATATGGATATTGAGTTTGAAAAAATTCTAGCATTTTCTGTGACATCATTCACTAGTGCTGTCGTTTTATAGAAAATTAATTTTTTCGTTAAAATTAGTATCCGTTGTGTTAGAGTTCCGTACTGTCTGATTAACTCTAGCAGCATATCAAGGAACCAGCAATAAAATTTGTAAGTGGATATGAAGACAATCTTAAGATATTTCTCAAAACTTAAAAATAAAACTTCTGTTGCTAAGTGACTCTTGGCTAGCCTTTGCATATTAAATTTACTTTTAAAATGCTAAAGGACATCGTTTGACCTATGAACACAATTCACATTTTAATTTTTTATGATTCCTAGAACATTTTTTTTTTCTTTTTCCATAATTTGACCCTTACAAAACATGTAAATTTCTAACAGCATTAAAGTATAATATTTAGAGGACGTAAAAATTAAAACCCCTGAGCCATACCTGTGTTTGTAGGAACAACAAACTGTTGTACCTAAGAATAGATATCATTGTACCTTCGAGCAGCCTTATGGGTACCTGCCTACAACAGTTAGATAAGATGTGGTTAAAAAAAAAAACAGCTAAATCTCTTTCAAGTTTTTTTTTTTTTAATTTTATTTCAAATAGTTGAATAGACTTTGTAAAAATTAAACACAGTAGTTATTTGCAAAATATAATTAAAGTGGTAACACTTGCAATATAAAATGACAACCAAATCATTTCCCTACATGACCAACAAAATCAAACAAGAATAAGCATATAAATTCAGGGAGTTTCTGCTATGTAGTTCCTACCCTAAGGCAAATGATCAAAAGTCCACAGGGATTATTGAAAAGGTTGTGTCAGTTTACCCCACAGCAGTTGGTTTAGGTAATTTGAATGAAATGCACTCAGTGTCGACTTCATATTCACCTGTGCTGGAATAGCAAATTTCAGGTTGCCAACTGTAGTCACTTTTGTCAGATATTTCATATTGAAACATATAGCATCAAATTCTGCTGGTATATCAACTACAAAGTGCTTGGTCGATTTTTTCCTAGTACTTTAACAAAAAAATAGTCTCCAACCTGAACATTTTCATCTTTAAGCAGAGTTGTGAGAACTTCTGTTTCTATTTCTTCTGTCATTAGTAAATTAAAGTCACTGTCATTGGATGAACGAAGTGAGAAGTTTTTGTCTTATTCTTCTGGAGATGTATGACAAGTTTTTGCCTTTTTCAGGTTTTTGACCAGTTTCTGAATTCGTTTTTGATTGAAGGTTTTTGTTGAAATGTCTTCTTTTTTGTCTGTTACGTTTTGTAAGCAGTTTCCTGTAGGTGTTTTTTTCTTTCTTTCTTTGTTTATTTTTCTTCCCTTTTTCTATTGGGAGTATGCATCAGAATTCATGATGTCTCTTTTTTTCGCCCTCGGCCCTCAGTTTTGCAGGGAGGTGACTTAGAAAGAGGCATCAGCATTTCAGGCGTTACCATGACAGGAGAAGATGCAGAGCTTTAAATCTGTTCATAGATACAACAATTTTTGTGTTTGTAGGTACAATATTATGTCATTTTGACTTTTGGCATTTGTTGGAACTTCTGCTCTATAGATAAGGTAGATTAAAATCAGAAATAAAACACCTAATTCATACTAAACTGAAGTGAGCATGACATTTATGCATCACACTAACTACAAACATGAGTAAAATATAAGTTATGGAATGATTCTTATTTAACTTATTTAAACTCTTAATTTCTTTAGACACTTCACTGCCTCTGTTGAAGAAACTGCTTCAGTTTTTTCTTCTTCTTCTACTTCTTCCTCCTTCTCTTCATTATTTTCTTGTGATGTAGTCAAAGATTCAACAATGTCACTCTCTGTGAGGCAGTAACTTGTTCCAGTTCCAGCATCAATAGTTATGTTCAACAAATGTTACAGATGGAAGTTTTGTTTCCACACCTCACTGGTCTTCACAAGCCTTGTCCTGTAGCAAAGAACTATCTTTGAAATCCATTCCTGACTTTCTCCAACAATTGGTGATTGTAGCTTTCACATTCCACCCACCCCTTGCTAACATTTGTATCCCTTGCGAGATGTTGATTTTGGTTGAAACATTCAATCTAATGTTGATTAGAATCTGCTGAATCAGTTGATTGATACTTTCCTATCTACTGTTTTCTTTATGAGCAGAGCAATTATTTATCAACATCAGGATTTTTTTCTTTTTTCCAATATTTTTGTCCAATTCAAGAAGCCAGTCTGCAAAAAGTTTTTTGGTCTTCCGAGCTTTCTTGTTGACTGCCTAATTTATTGGCAGAGCGCCACATGTTTGAAACATCTAGGCTTTATGCTTTGTCCTACGCCCATAGGCTTCACTTTTTCAGTACCAATGGCATTGCAACAAAATAATGCTTTCAATCTTTCTTTTGGCTGTTTTCCACCGACACACTTCTCTCCCTTGAAAGACTGTTTTATTCAGCAAGATATGATAAAAAAGAAATGCTGTTTCATCTGCATTGAAAATCTCTTGAGGATTATATTTTTCAATTACAGTTTTCGGATGATGTTCCTTCCACTGTCTAGGAAGTCTTTCATGTCAGCATCTGTAGCTTCCCCAATAATGCTTCCACGTTATGCCATATCGCTCGCGAAAACGAAACAGCCAGCCAGAAAATTCTTAACATCCATTAGTTTTGCAAATTCTTTTATTTCATTTTATTTTTCTGTGTCATTGGTTTAGAAACGGGAACCCTACTAGATCAAACTTTCTTAAACCATGTTTCTACTGTCTCTTTCACTTTATAAAAATTCCCTTAACTAGGTTCTTTCGGTCGGGGCGTATCACCAATTATTCGTACATTTTTAGAATTTTTTCTCTTCGTTTAAAAATTGTTGAAACTGAAGTTGGTTTCGTGTCATATGTACATGTTACATCAACCTGCTTCATTTTACTATCTATTTTTCAAATTAACCCCCTTTCTGTTCTGTCCGGAATTATCTCCTTTTCTTACTTTCATTGCAATCAAATTGGGTCGTAATTTTTATGAACACCACTACTTCAAATCGGTTTAGTAAACGCATTTAGAAAATTGTAACCACTACAACATGTGTATTTGCTACTAGAGCGTTCGCTACAATTAACAAGACATGAAATGAATTTCCGGAAGTTCACAATATTCAAAACCGAAAAAGTCGAGATTCCCCATCGCATGATCGAGAAATAACAATTACTGCTTCTATCTGCAGTGATTATGGCAAACTAGGTCTGGTCTTTACGAATTCGATTGGCATCTGCTATCGATATGTTTGTTATTCAATGCGTTTTACATACAATAAGCATAACAGGGGATTCAGTGGGAATGAAAATATATTTAAGAAAATTAATCCATGCAAAATTTATGCATACTACGTAATACTAAAATATGTCCAAGTAGAGAGTAAAAGTGAAATATTTTTACATTGTGACATAAGACATTTAAACAAGGATTTCAAATACGTACGTAACACAGAAACGTACGTGATATTGAAGTCTGTTATACTGAGATTTTACTGTACTTTCTAGCTGTATTTCTTCACTGAACTTTTCACTGACTATTTTTGAGTTGTGTTACTTTAGAAATATATGTAAGTTATGTCAACACATTGACAATCGCATAAACATTGTTTTTGAATGATGTGTAATCTTCCATGCTAGAGAAGTCTTCTTTGGAATAAGTCGGTCTAAACCGGAATCGTTCGGGACAAAAAATTATTCTTGCTTAAGATTGTTTCCCTTTTTGTGCAAGGTTGTCCAATTTATGGCACTTTTTGATATTTGACCTTTCGGTCCTGAAACTTGTAAATTACATGACTTTATTGTAATTATACAAATATATTAACATATAACATTTATGGAAGAAATCGCCAATAAATGATTATTAAACAAACCTTTTCAATTATGCTTGTAGCAGTTGAAAATTTTAATATTTACAATTTTGTTTTTTTAACCATTGTTTAACTGGTTGTGAAACGCCACTCCATTGCCTAGTGGCTTCACCAGAACTATT